CGTCGTGCATGGCGAGAGTGGCGTAGTTGGGCATGGACCAACCGATGCGCTTGACAGACAAGAAAAGGGCAGAGATCGGGCCAGCGACAGATCGCCACGTCTTGGGCTGCAGCTTACCCTCGAACACTGACGACCAGCACCTCCGGAGCTCCTTATGAGACATACCCCCCAAGTATGGATGATACTGGGCCGCCCATAACTCCTTTCCCCACCGAACGATAGGTGCGACCATCCCGTAGTAAGTGGGGTCGTCCTCACAAACCAAGGCAGAAGAGAGGCTGCGGCCGCCACAAGCCGGCCTAAGACACTTGCCTGCTTGGCGGCGGATGTGGGCAAGCTCGGCGTCGCTGACCCCGTGGATCTCGCAGCCGAAAGTGATCCCCGCCAAAGCCCCACTGGTGAAAATCTTTTTAGCGGAACGACCCAGGACCAGACGTTGTTTGCTGATCCTGCTGACGCGCTTGTCGAAGGTGGAGCGACGCTGCTTCGCTTTCCTACAACGGCCCTTGACCCTCCTAGGCAGCCCAGCGGCATCGTCAGTCCCCAGGTTGACAGCCGAAGGGGTCCCCCCAGGGCCGGCCCAGACACCCAAGAAGGCCAGAAGTTTTTCCCCCAGACGCCGCTGACTGCATATGAGGCTCGCCTTATCAGGAGCGACCTGGCACTTGATGTCGGCCTCCACAGCCTTGAACAAGCCCACTGCCCCGACGGTGATGGCCGAATAAACTTCTTGAAAGCTACCCTGAGCAGACAGACCTAGGTCATCAATGAAAAGATCCAGGCTGGACGACGGATGCAGCTGGACATTCACAAAGGCTTTCATGTAATAGACCCTGACAAAACTAGTAGCAATGCTGCATCCCGCAATGACGCCACGGATCGCCAGGAACGGCCCCTGGATGAACCCACTGATGTTTATGTACCTGGGGGCCCGATAGGCCGTAATACAAAGCCTGGAAACCACCTGCGGGAAACCCGACTCGTCACATCTTGTCGCGAGGTCCTCTAGGTCCATGGTTTCATAGAACTTGTACATGTCCCAGAGGAGGGACGCCGAGCACTTGCCTTGCTGGACAGCCGCTTCGCTCTTGGCAGTCTGCCGCCAGACGACATCCGAGGCCGACTTGAAACCATAGGCTGCAAACATCGCATGCTGGTTAGCCTCCCCCCACATCAACGCCTCCCTCCTCCTGCACTTCCCCCGGAGTCTGTAGGGCGAGGTGAAGATGCCTATGGGGCGGAGGCCGCCCAGCGGCTTGGCCAGCATAGCCAGCATGACCAAACGCAACTGCTCAGGCAAGACGGCCATCGTCTCCATGATGGCGAAAAGCAACGAGACAACTTGCAGAGCTTTGTCACACAGCAGCGCGTAATGCCGAAGGTGAAAGCCATCAACAGACACAGCTGACCGCTTGGCGTACCCCCTGCTCTTCTCCCTCAAGCATTCAGGTGACACCAGGGGGAGATGTTCCAAGGGTTGATAAGGCTTGGGGTCCATCAAATCGAACAATTCGGTTTCGGCCAACCATAGCTTCTGGAAGCGTTCCCCTTCAGCGCGCAGAAGGGACCGAGGATCAGAAACCACCTGGCCCGCCGCACTGAGGGTCGTGGAGGGAACCCAAGCTTCTACAGGACGCGTCCAGGCATGGGCGTTGCGGCCACCACCCTGGTCAATGTCCCTTAGAAGCCACTCCTTCCACGACCGCTCACCAGCAGCTCGAGCCGCCTTGGCGGTCGAGTCCAGCAAGTCGGCTAACTCGATGGACACGCTACCTATGGCCTCCAAGGTGACCTCGTCCTGCCCAATGAAACCCAAAACTCTACGATGAGCCTCAAAGATAGCGCCAGACCCCGTATGCTTCTGAATGAACGGCGAGGGGGACTCCAGAACCTTCTCGGCACTCTCGATAGGGATCCCGCCCGAACAGTTACCCTGCAAGGTCCTCCAAGAAGTAGTCCAATCCCTGAAACCCTGCGAGAGCCATCTACACACAAATAGTTCAGGATGCCGAGCGGGACGCTGGTCACGCCCCAAGACTGGAACCCACCAGACCTTGGGGATCTCACCTCGACACCCAGTTTTAGGGAGCTTAACCTGGAGCTGATCGGCAAGCTCAGCTTCGGCAAGGTTGGCCCATCGCTTATACAAGTCGGTGAGCCCATAGTGAGCGTCCAGAGACCCCCGACGGGCACAGTCAAGTACTCCATTAGCTAAAGCCAGCGTGGCATCCCAGTCCTGCGGAGCAGGTCCAGGCCCGACAGGAACTTCAACAGGCAGGGGAGGAGGCTTTCTGAACTGTAAGACTCGAAGATCGGCTAACCTGGCATGGAAATCGACCCCCGCAGGCGAGTGAGGGGACGTCGGAGCATACCTGTCGACCCACGAATTCTTGACACCTTTCGATAAGCCCCCAGAGACCACGAAAAAATCATAGACCTTCCCACCAGCTGAGCTAAGACAAGTGGACAAACCGGCCGTGATCACCTGGCCCTCTAATCGCTGAACGAAGTTGGAGTCGTCTAGCAACGGAGGCTCCATATTGAAATCGCCTCCGATCACAAAACTGTTGAGACTGCTACTGGCAATCGTACCGATCTTCGACAGCAGGGCCAAGTTCCTGTCGGACAAGCCCTCGCAGCACGACAAGTAGCAGGAGAAGCACAGGATGGGAGGAAGGTCCCCAACATGAACAACCCCAGCAACGGCACGATAGTCTTCCACCACATAACCCCCTGGGGGCCAATGGAGGCCCAAACCTGACCGAGCTAGAATAGCCACCCCTCCTGAAGTGCCTAAGTCTGACGAGGCCTTAGCACTCCCGAAGATCGATTTCCAACCGTGATTAAGGGCCCAGCGCTGAGCGTCTGGGATCTGGTGCACGAGCAAGCGGTGCTCCTGGAGCAACACCACGTGCGCCGCCGTCTGCAAGAGCCAATCCTTAGCAGAACTCCAGGCCGTGCAATTGCATGTGACTATCTTCAGGTTTATGGCATCCCCCCCAGGGGCTGGGGGGGGCCTTAAAAACTTCAAAACTTTCAGGCAGAGAAATCGAACCTGAGGGGGGAGGAGCCTGCGGGCCGACAGGGGAAAACGCAAGATTGGGCTGAACACCAGCTCGCTTTTTGCAAAAGTCCCCCTGTTTACAGACGCCTCGGGTACTGTTGGCGAAACACAACAGCGAAGCTATATATTTATCAAGAGAGCGAATGGACTGAGCAAGGCGATCCTCAAGCTCAGCTCGATTAAAGACTTCACAGTATGGAGGTTGGGAAGAGATGTAGTGATGGGCCCCCCTGCCCGCGCTCACAGCGGAGTCACGCGGGAGGGGGCTAATGGCACTTTGCGGGGCCCAGGGCTGCTTCAGCACGTGCACGAACGTCGGGAGGTGCATCCCCAGCTTCACCAGGCTGCTTGTCCGCCTCGCCATCGGGCGGGCCCGCCGCAGTGCTGGCAGCAGCGCGGCCGTCGGGGCCCGACCCAGCGCCGTTCGCCACAGCCGCCTGGCCTGGCCCTGCACCGCCACCAGAGACGGCCGCGCCGTCCTCGCCCTTCCTCTTCTTACCAAGACGCTGAACATGCTTTGCTTGCTCATCACGAGCAGACTGAGCCTTCTCCAGCGCCCCCTTGAAGAGGGAGTTGCACGCCTCGCGGAACTGCTCGTTGAGTGCTGCGCGCCGAGCTGCCATCTGCTCCTTGTCCTCGTCGGAGACCTCGTACTCGCCCTCGTCGAAGAGGAAGATCGAGTCCAACGAGACCATATCCAGCACGTTGCACGAGCCCTGCATGAGCTCAGACACATCCACCTTGGTACGCTCGAGAGGTTCAGCGGGGGTGGGATCGACCACGTTCCCAGCCAGCTCGCGGACCAGGTCCTTGTAGTTGTCGTCAGCAGCCTGCAAGGACTGCTGAGCCGCCGCCGTCGAAGCCTTCTGCTCCTCCACCTGCTTCTCCAGCTTGGTGAGCTTATCGAGCTCCGTGGACAGCTTCCGCTCCCAGTACTGCACACTGCTGTGGGCCTTGGCTGCACGCTGCTGGACGGGGGCAGGAGTAGAGGTGCGGAGCAGCTTGTCGAGCGCCGTCTTGTGACGGGTGGCCGCCTCGCCGTCGCCAGACTTCTCGCACAAGCCGATGAGCGTCCGCAGCTCGGTCTCGGACAGCTGGGCCGAGGGAGAGCCAGCTGGATGCCCGCCAGCACCGCCAGGGCCCCCAAGAGTAGGAACAGGCGCAGGCTTGAGGGCAGGCCAGTGGATGCCCGACCTCGGCCAGCCCTGCCCGACGGGGCTGGGGGGTCCTGCACGCATCTCTCCGCAGTGCTTGCAAGCGATCCAGCCCTCGAGGTTCTTCTTGCATCCGCATGCCTCGCAACGCCAGCGGCGGCCCGACCACGACCCCGTGTCCTGACGGGGGGGTGACCAGCTCCATTGGCCACCGCGGTCGGGCTGGGCGCCCCACTGGCCCGACGGAGGCCCAGCCCTGGCCGCCGACCCTGCGCGCCAGGGTGCCTGGGTCGGCCACGCCCCGCCACCATTGCTGCGAAGCTGCCAAGCATTCTTGGCCATGCGAGAGAGATTCCGAAGCCAAAAAACTGGCTCGCACACACAATGCTGTCCTGAAGTTGGTGTGTGCAATGCCCAAAAGCTCGGGCACAGGACAGCTAAATGGCTTGAGCCAAAATGGCTTGAGCCAAAATGGCTACGGTGCAAGGAGGAGGAGGAGGAGGAGGAGGAGCAGCAGGAGGAGGAGGAGGGGGGGGAGAGAGAGGAGGAGGAGGAGGAGGAGGAGGAGGAGGAGGAGGAGCAGCAGGCGGAGGAGGGAGGAGGAGAGGAGGAGGAGGAGGAGGAGGAGGAGGAGGAGGAGGAGGAGGAGGAGGAGGAGGAGGAGGAGGGGGGGGAGGAGGAGGAGGAGGAGGAGGAGGAGGAGGAGGAGGAGGAGGAGGCAAGGAACGGCAAGGAGGAGGACGAGGAGGCGGAGGAGGAGGAGCACGGCCGGCGCACACGGCCTTGCGGGGAGCCGAACTTGCTCCAGCTCCAGCCCCAGCTGCTCTGGGGCGGGTTCTGCACGCAGCCTCGCTGGAGAGCCCCGCCCCCCGCGCGCAGGATGGAAGGGAGGGAGGGATCGAGAGAGAGAAGCTGATTACCCCAGTGCGACCCTACCTAGGAGTTGGAGCCCCTAGGAAACCAGCATTTGTAGTAACGGTAAACGCCGTCCTCCTCCTTCTCCTCATCGTCGTAGTTGCCTTTGCTTTTGCTGATTTTTGTTTTTGCTTGGTTTTGCTTTTGCGTTGCCTTCGCACACACACGCATGTTTCTGCATTCGCTCACCGGGTGGGCTCTCTGATCGTACTGTTGCACATTGCGTTTGCTTTGTCATTCCTTTGCTTTGCTTTTGCTTGTGCTTTGCTTTGCTGTGCGTTGCTAGTGCTTTGCTTTGCTGCTGCTGTTGCTGTAGCTTAGTTAAGCTAGGCTAAGCTAAGCTAAGCTAAGCTAAGCTAAGCTAAGCTAAGCTAAGATACAGCTGAGCGAAGCTAAGATGAAGCTATGCTAATCTAAGCTAAGCTAAGCTGAGCTAAGCTAAGATGAGATACGCTAAGCTAAGGTAAGGGGGCGCAACTGGGGGAACCGCGGGGCGGGGACCGGGGGAACCGCCCGGGGCGTGGTCCACTGCCCGGCCCCTTTTAAGCTAGCAGAGTAAGAACCCTCCAGGCAGAGCCTAGGTAGGGAACTAATCCAGTTTTATTGTTTATAGATATATGTGTATATTTCTAATAATCATAATCTTAATCATATGAATGATAATAATAACAATAATAGTAGTAGTAATAATAATAGTAAGAAATGCCACTAGTAATAGTACTAATAATACGAATAATAATACTAACTCGACTAACATATAAATATATAAATAACTGAAAAAGTAACAATACAAATAATAATGATGATAATAAATGATAATGAATACCCAATAGATGATACGATTACTATTAACATCAATAATGGTACTACGAATAAGAATAGTAGTAGTAGTAGTAGCAGCAGCAGCAGCAGCAGCAGCAGCAGGAGTAGTAGTAGTAGTAGTAGTAGTAGTAGTAGTAGTAGTATGATAGATGTATATGTATGCATATAATATAAAACATAGCAGTAATCATTGCAAGAATAAAAGATATAAGAAGAAGACCAACAATAAGAGTAGCTGTAATGATTCTAACAACAATAAAGGAGGGCGCCTCAGTTAGGAGGGGTATCAGATCAAGCCGCCCTGATCTGTCATCCCAAATGCGAGGGCGGGGACCTCGGTGAGGCCACGCCTTCATTGTGCTGTCAGGCTTCGGGGGTCCTTTTTGTGCTCGACGGAGGGGGCCAGGCGCACACATAGACGCACACTTTTACGTCAGCGGCCAGGCAGAGCGACTGCGCTGGCGGAGAAGCAACACCGCGGTACACGGGCCCCCCACACACACACACACACACACACACACACACACACACACACACACAAACAAACACACACACGTCGCAGAGCTGGCGAACCGATCGGGCGGGCTAGGCAAACACAGACTCACACACACAGACAAACACACACACACACACAAAAACACACACACACACACGTCGCAGAGCTGGTGAGCTCGCGGGCCAGGCAAGCGGCCCACGGGGCGGTGGACGGCGAAGCCAGCCCGCCAAAAGAAGGCAGGAAAAGAGGGGCAGGGCGGCCGCGGGAGAGGGGGCAAACTCAGACCGTGACAGGCCTTCGTCGGCACGCAGCGGTCCAGGCCCAAGCGAGTCGGTGATGGAAGGACGCCCGACCTTCCTGGGAGAGGCGAAGCAAATCGGCGCTCGGGTTGAGGACGAGCAAGCCCGCGAAACGCCCGCAACGGTACTCGCACCGCCCAGGGTCGGAAGTGCGCGACCACGACCGGCGAGACGGAGCAGCTCCACCAGGCAGGCGCCGGGGGCCGTATGGAGCAACCAGGCCAGGACGCAGCGCAACAGCCAGAGGGGGCCTGCATGTGGCCGAAGTCGGCCTCCTCCCTTTTACATTCGGCGCGACATTAGCCTGAGGCCGCCTCAAGCCCACACCCGCGCCTCCTCCCTCCTCCCTCCTCCCTCCTCCCTCTTCCCTCCTCCCTGACGGGCGGCCGAGGGCCGGAAGAGGGAGGCTGCGGGGCCGGGACCAGGCCAGCGGTGAGCTGCAGGCGGGGCCAGCAAAGCAGCCGGCGAGGCGCACGCACAGGAGCTGACGCCAAGGTCACCCCCTCTCCCTCCTCACCCGCCTCCTCCTCCTCCTCCTCCCCCATCCTCCCCCATCCTCCTCCTTTTCCTGTAGCATCTGAAACGGTGAAGCCCCTTCGATGAACGAGCACATTGACATGAAGAGAAAAAGAGGGGCGGTGGCCAGGGCCCCACCAGCCCGACGCCCCAGCGAGGGGCCAGGGCGTGCAAATGGTGGAACCCTTACCTGGGGCCAGGGGAGCATACCCCCCCCCAATGATGGCCAGCTGCTTAGGCTTAAGGTGCTGGCGCGGGCCAGACAGCTGAGAGGAAGCCTTGGCACCGTACGCTCGCATCTGTTGCAAAAAAAAGACGGGCGTGCAGTGTTTGGCGGTCCGTGCCGCAAACCAGAGATGGGTGCTGAAGGATTCGCCTCCCAACAACGCACGCATTGTGGGAGCGAGCACAGCGCATGGGTCACTAGCCGTCGAAGGATCGCGAAAGCGCTTGCTGCAACCGGCGCACCTCCACCTGAAACCGTCCCAAGTTAAAACGTGGCGCGCCACCTGAGAGGAAACGGCACGAGGGGCCCTGGGGATCCTGTCCCGGTTGCCGAACAGCTCACAGGCGCGCGGCCGCACGGCCAGCATCCGGGCCGCGGGGCGCGCAAAATCCTTGAACCGTTTCTTGGCGGCCAGGGCCCCATCAACATCTGCGGGGTCTACTTTGCTGTCTAGGGCCCCCTCGGGTGCAGGGCAGTCCGCCCATCTGTTCCCTCTGATGCAAGCTCGCTCGGCATCGTCAGCCGCTGACTCCCGACCCCCATGGGCCGCTACTTTCTCGGTGCGCCAGTCGGCAGGCATGCCCCTGATCAGTCCATTGCGCTCGCCCAGAGGCGAGCGCCCGCCCCGCGCCGATATTTGTCCTCCAGAAAGAAACGCACCGCAATCCGCCGGCGCGCGCAGGGAGAGGCTGGAGCACGCCGAGCGCCATCAAGAGTCCGCGGTGCTCGCCCATCGAGGCGGTCTGGTCAGAGTGGCAATGGCCTCGGACACCTCCGAAAACACTTCTGCTGAGCTCTCCTTGGCCGTCGCGCCCCGCCACCCCCCGCCCCGCACGGGCCAGGAGGGTCTCCGCGAGGGCTCGAGGGGGGCACCACTTCTGTCAACGCACTTTGGGATGCCCGCCTTCAGGGGGCGGCAGTGGACTTCGGGCAACGGCCGCCCAGGGCCTTCGAGAGCACGGAGCTATCCTGCCCGAGCAACAGTGCCTCGCCGATCAAAGACGGGTGAATCATCTCCCACCCACCCCCAACCAAGCAGAGGCATTCCCACGCCCTGTGCCCGGCGGAGCCGCGCCCCCCGCACCCGGGGCAGAGCGGGCCGGGCGCGCGCCCCCAATCGTGGCAGAGCTGCGCTGCGGGGTGGCAACCAGCGAAACCCATCCTGAGCATCTGCTTCTCACGGCCTGGGAGGCTCTGACTTCTGCAGCGGTGGACCACAAGCCCTGCTTGCGGATGACTTCGGCTTCCATACCCCGGCCGCCCCCCACAAGCGTAGACGCGCTTCCCCTCCCCACGTTCCTCCTCATCCGCCTCGTGTGTCGACCGCCGTGGGGGCTCCGTCCTGGTTTCGCACCCATTGTCCTATGCAAGATGCCCCTCTAGACCAGGCCGCGCTGCCAGCGGAAAGCCCCCCCCCATGCGCCCGCGAGGGGCGAAGACAGAGAAGGCGGACCGGAAACAGGGCCAGCAGCGATGACCCGGCAACGCCCCCCCTCTGCGAAAGCGACTGAAAACGGTCTGGACCAATCGCGCGCTCGCAAGTTTCGAAAGGGCAGGCGGGGCCCCCGAAGAGCAGCCCTTCTCTGCCACGTGCGCCCCCCCGGCGCCAAAGCGGCAAGAGATGGCCCCTGGCCAACCAGATGGGAGCGGGGGTGTCACCAGCGGCTGCGGCCCGCCGCTGGAATGGATCCCCCAAGCGACAGGTCTGCACCTGCCCCGCTCGCGCCAGCTCCGCGCATGTCACGACTCGCCAACACTGGCAAAAGTGCACAGGGCACAAGTGGATATATCACGGCGCCGGTTCGACGTCCTGTTCGGCGGTGGATGCACCAGCGGAGTTCTTGAAAACAGGGATTCCAATTGACGCATTGGAGAATGCATTGGCGAATGCACGGGAGGGGGGGTCTTAAGAATTTCGCGCGGATGCGTCTTTCCGTTTTGACTCGGCACTATGGCCCCCGTGCAAAGCGATTCTCCCATGCGAAACCCATTGTGAACTAGCGCGGTTTAGCGCGCCCTGCTTTTCCCCCTGCCCGCCCTGGCTTTCACGTCGAAGATCTGACTAGCAACCCATTCGAAGCCCCCATGGCGCCCATTCTCGCGCGGGGCCCTCTCCCGGCCGCACGCGCAACGCGGGGCGTCCACCGCCGACGCGGGCAGGGGCGAGACCCGCGCCGTTCCCGGGGAGGCGAAGACGAGTTCACCGACTCTCACATATCCAAGCAACATACACCACGGACCAGCCAGTCGGTGAAATACTGTCGCCAGGAAATACGCGGCGACCGCGCCATCGGCGACGATGACGACGACAACGACGACGACGACGACGACGACGACGACGACGACGACGACGACGATGACGACGACGACGACAGCGGCGACAACGACGGCGGCGACGACGACGCGCGAGTTAAACTTTCACGCGGCATCTGAACAGCATCGATGAGCCCCCAGCCCCGCCCTCCAAAATGCCGAGCCACAGGTCCGATTGCACAGGGTCCGACAACGACGGCGGCGGCGGCGGCGGCGTCGACGACGGCGCGCGCGCCCAACGCTCACACTGCAGCAGCACAGCGTCGATAACCCCACCCCCCGACTCAAAGTTGACGCGGGCGGGCGCGAGGCGACGCGCGAGGGGCATAACGCGGGCGCGGCGGCGCAGGGCGCGCGGGGGAGGGGCGCGAAGGGCGCCAGCTTCGAGGAGAGAGCCCGGGCGGCCCGCGCCCCGCCGTCGGCCCCCGAATGCGCGGAGCCCGCGCAGACCAACAGAACTGGACATTGAACGGGACATGGATCTAGCCCAGGCGAACACGCGGGGGGGGGGGGGGCGATAACACTTATCGGGACGCGGCACATATCAATGACAATCGAAGTTTTGCAATCGACCCGGCCAAATCCATCGCCCTCCTGACCGCACTCAAAAAATGCCACCTCCCACCCACCCGCAAGTTCCATGACCAGTTCTTTGACCAGATGCACCAGCTCCGTGCACGTCGCGACTCACCATGCATGCCAGCACAGAGTTCCACCATACCCGGTGGACTTATCAATGAAAATACCGGCTGGTTCGCATGGACATCTTGCGTTAATGTTTTGGGTGACTCATGATTTGTTGACTTGTCGATACATGTCTGGCGAGTTTCACGTGCATGTGTCGGCTCGCGTTGGCTCGGCGCTGACCCCTCGAACGTTTCGTGGCCCCATAGGGAGCTCCACCGAAGGCACCAGTGCTGCCGCCCGCATGCGTCCAGCACGCCCAATTCGGCACACCCCTCACACGTTTCGTGGCCCCATAGGGAGCTTCACCGAAGGCCCCAGTGCTGCCGCCCGCATGCGTCCCGCACACCCAATTCGGCACACCCATCACACGGTTCGTGGCCCCATAGGGAGCTCCACCGAAGGCCCCAGTGCCGCCGCCCGCATGCGTCCCACACACCCAATTCGGCACACCCCTCACACGTTTCGTGGCCCCATGGGGAGCTCCACCGAAGGCCCCAATGCCGAACCCCGCACGCATCCCGCACACCCAAGTCGGCACACCCATCACACGTTTCGTGGCCCCATTAGGAGCTCCACCGAAGGGTCCCAGTGCTGCCGCCCGCATGCGTCCCGCACACCCAATTCGGCACACCCCTCACACGTCTCGTGGCCCCACAGGGAGCTCCACCGAAGGCCCCACTGCCGCCGCCCGCATTCGTCACCCGCACACTCAATTCGGCACACCCCTCACACGTTTCGTGGCCCCATAGGGAGCTCCACCGAAGGCCCCAGTGGCGGCGCTCACATGTGTCCCCGCCACACATCCGGCGGGTACACCCCTCACACGCGTCGTGGCCCCATAGGGAGGTAGCGGCACTTACATGCGTCTCCGCCACCCATCCCGGCCCCCCCCCCCGCATGTTTCGGGGCCCCATAGGAAGCTCTACTGGAGGCCCCAGTGGCAGCCCTCACATGCGTTTCCGCCACCCATGTCGGCACACCCCGCACGTATTTCGTGGCCCCATGAAGAGCTTCACCGAAAGCCCCAGTGGCACCCATCTCGGCTCACCCCTCACACGTTCCGTGGTCCTATGGGGAGTTCAACTGAAGATGAAACCCACAGCTGCGGTCCTCACGACTATATATGGTTAGGTTCTTCGCCAGGCTAATTGTTTTTTTATACGGTTTCTGGACACTCAGTTTTGTAACCCGTGCGAAAGCCAAGGTTTTGAAAGATTTCGGCACGCGCGCGTGATGACGCGCACGCTAGCAGTTCGTCCCATTTGTGGCAATGGATTGTCGCAGCGGCATGCTCGCAAGGGCATTCGAAAGATTTCGACATGCGCGCGCGAAGCCAGTTGCTCTGAAAATGTTGGAAACAACTGTGGTTTTCGTAAGAATTCGCGAAAGCCCGCGCGCAAGCTTTTTTTGAAAATCCGTGTTGCGAGACATTGTGTGTTTATATGGTTAATGGACACCCGATTTTGATTTTTTTTACGAAACCAGAGGTGTTCGAAGGATTTCGGCATGCGCGCGCGACGACGCGCGCGTGTGCAGCACTTCGTCCCATCTCTTGCAAGGGAGTCCTGGAAACTGATGATTTGTCATCAACGAGTGCGCGCGCATAGCATGTTTGCAGAGGATGGCGGGGGGGGCGGATACTGGTTCGGCTGTGACGGTATGAATTCATGTTTAGGATGGCAGATGGGGCAGCGTAAAATGCAAATTGCAATACGAAAAAGTATGTGATAATCCAGGGGGGAGTGGATTCTCTCTTTGAAAAGGAAAATATAATATGTCAAATGTGTGGTCTGCAAACAATGTTGTGCAATATATACAGCGCAGTTTATGTGATGCAATCAAAGTGGGGCAGTATATGGTGTCCGATCTATGGTATGCGCAATATATGTGATGCAGCCGATGTTGTAGTCAATGTCGTGCAATATATGTTGTGATATATATATATATATATATATATATATATATATAGACGACGAGGCGGCGACGGGGCGGCGACGGCATGCACGGAGAAGCCAGACCGACACACAGGCCCAGTTCTTTAGACCAGAAGCAGGAGCTCTAAATGCAAGCACTCTCTCTGGGGAAAAACAGCTGACAAATGAACGCCTGATACGCCCGAAACCCTGCACATCGCGTGAGGATGAGACTCCTCCGTCTTCCTCCCCGACGCACTCTGCCTCGCTCCCCGTCTGCCCCTCTCCCCCGACCCCTGGGTGGGCCCCCGGGAGCACACGCAGCCCCTGGCAAGCCCAGGCCAAGGCCTGCTAAAGAGAGTCGCGCGGGGACGACGACCACGACGACGAAGACGACGACGGCAGCGGCAGAAGCTGCGCCGACGGCGGCGGCAGCAACAGCGACAGCGGCGGCAGAAACGGCCGCAACAGCAACGGCGACGGCGGCGACGACGACACCATCGACGACGACGACGACGACGACGACGACGACGACGACGACGACGACGACATCAACGACATCGACGACGACGACGGCGACGACGGCGGCACAGGCCTGCGGGGGAGCCGTGCGGGGAGACCGCCTGGCCCCAGCTGCTCCAGCTGTGCTGGGGCGGGCTCTGCGCGCAGCCTGCTGACAGGGGCGGCGGCGGCGAGGAGAGGCTCCAGGGGTGAATCTGGGCGAACAAGATCGATGATCCTCAGAGCGCGTGTCAGCGCCCACGCGTGCGTGTCCGCTGGGGCCCGCCAATGCGACGCAGGCGGCGTGGTGGTCCACCTGCGGAGGCAAGCGGGGTAGACACACGCCGGGCTAACACACGTCCTGAGGATGGTAGGGCACAGACGGCACAGACGATGTACCTACACTAAAGTCGGGCATGTCCCCCTACAGGCGAATTTTGGACGAAAAATCAGAAATACACAAACAAATATTCAAAAATTGTCAAACACAGTCGAAAGTCGTCCCCAGACTATTTTTGACACTTTTGGAATGTTCCTCCTGTAGAGGGGGACATGCCCGACTTACACCTACACCGCTCCTGGCCAGGCCCGTCCTGCGCCCAGGATCGGGGAGCGTGCCCTCCCGCCAAAGCCAGGGGGGCGTGCGCACACCGCTCCTGGGCCCAGGGCAGGATCGGCCTGGGCACGTCGCTGGCGCCCTCCGAGGGGGTCGTCGGCCAGAGAGCGGAGCACGCTCCCTCGCGGCCAGGGAGGGCTCAGGTGTGATCTGAGCCTGGCAGGGGGCCCCTCCCCGCGCTCGTGCTGGTCACGGACCTGTCTGCTGCGCCCAGCGCGGGACGGGCCCGCTCCAGAGGAGGCAGAGCGAGGAGCAGGAGGGGGGCAGGTCTTGCAAGGCCTGAAAGTCATCGACAAGAGAATGGAGCATGCCCCCCCGCGGCCCACACTCTCGACGCTCGAAGGGCCGGCAGCACACTACGGTTCGGTGGAAGCCGTCTTTGAATGCCGAGGGCAGCGATTTGGCTTAAGAAGATATGTGGCAGGAGTCTCTATCTGAATCTCGGCCGTCTTCTTGTTTCAAACTAGAGGGCCACGTGGCTGCGTCAGCCAAGAAAGCAGCGACAAATGGTAATGCTCTTCGTTCGAATGCGAGCGTAGCCATGAGGCGCACACGAGTTACAAGAGATGTGCTGCAGGCGGCGCGAGACACGTGACCCAAAAAGACGTGCTTCGAGGGCACTGGAAACGCATGCGAGAATGCTGTGACGCACGGGCTACTTCGCAGCTGCAGGCATTTGAAGGTATCAAGGATCTGCCTCGCGCGCACATGATCCCTACGCAGCAAGGCAAGCGCCGTCCCTTGGATCGCAGGGTATTTCAAACTTCGCTCTGGCAGATTCTTTCCACAGACTGCGGCGCTGCTAGGGAAGAATGGGCAACAACGCATTGCAACAGAGGCCCGTGTAACATCACCTCGTTTCGCAGGGAAGAGTTGCGGCGAGCTTTCAAACGCATAAAGCGTGATAAGTGCTGAGATAGTCGCGGCATCACTCTGATATGTTTGCATGCGGCGGCGATGCTCTGTACAGGCATCTGTTGTCGTCTTTGAATTCGCCGTTCAGCACGGCTTGCATCGATCCCACGTGGCAGCAAAAGTGTTTTACCATGCTGCCGAAAAAAACGGGCACCAGGCATGATGTAAAGATTTGGCGGCCGTTGGTTAGTCTACACATCACATACAAGATATTCACTCGCCTGCCTGCGCGCTTGCAACCTGCTTGAGACAAGAAGCAAGCGCACGACCAAATAGGATTTCGCCTGGGTCATTCCGTGGCGATGCATGTCGTTTGGGGTGATAGTTCCATCAGAATTTAGGAATTGCAGCTCCCATTGTGGATTTCCAGTATTGACCTCACCAAAGCTTGCGATAGGCTGGAGCATCACGTGTTCGTCCGAGTATTATCGGAGTAGGGAGTTAACCTAGAGTACGAGGGGCTCTTGTCAGACATCTACAGTGCCCAATGGGGCAGTGTCAATTGCAGAGCAGCGTCTGACATTACGCGAGGAGGTAAGCAAAGCGATGTGTTGTCATCGCTGCTCTTCAACGCCGAACTGGAGCACGCAATCGGGAGGCTCCAAGCACGAGCTCAACAGTGCGGTTTCGACCTTGGAGGCGCCAATATACTTAGCAACGCGCGGCACGCTGATGACATGATACAGTGTGCACGTTCTGCCGGAGAGTCGTCAGCGTGCGGCCTCTCATCAAACGCCGACAAGACGTGCATAGTTACTGACGGTGGTGCTGTGCCCAACGTCGAATTCAACGTCGAAGAGCCCGTCGTTCTGCGTCCTGCCAGTTGCCAGTTGCCTGTCATGACGCCCCAGGTGTTTCACAGGCACCTCGGTAAGAAATTCGGTGACGACCTGCGCAGCACAAAAGCGCGCAATGTAAATTATCGCATGGAGTGCGCATGGGGAAGCTTCATCTGCACAACGCAGCTCATCCGAATTGAGCTGTATCGTTGCGCTTTCGTTTGAACCTGCTCGACGCGGTTGTTCCGCCCACCGCTGTCTACGGTCTGCCAACGACAGCCAGGTCAGCACAACATCGGTCACGAATTGCATCAACCTGATCGAAAGTACTCCACCAGATAGTCGGGTTCAACCAGCCTCATGGCGAGAGTGGGGAGGAAGCGGGACGACGCTACAAGAAAAACGTGCGCGTCGCTTTGGAAAGCTTTCCAGTGTAATACTGGCTCCTTGTGATGGACCGCTCAATGTGGCGCGCCTTATGATACGTTTTGTCACTGGTGACCCGCAAGAGCGACCAGCTTACGCTGGCGCCCGCCCGGGCCGAGGTCGGGCCGCAGACGGACAGATGCCGTCGGCCCATTCTGCACGACAAAAGCACGGCACGACTTTAACGATTGTTGTCCGCAGCCAGGAGCGTTCCCCCTGGCAGCGGACATAATATTCAAGTCTCAATTACATGTTGCGGAACGCATGATGTATGACAGATGTATTCCTAGATCCACGCGCGCGCTTCGCTCGCTTAGGTTTTATCAAGGCAGCTAGGCCAGATATGCTAACTCTTGAAAGGGTCGTCGTCGGGCGATCTCGGGAATTTCCTGAGCCGTCGGAAGGAGGTGCCAAACAGGTGGCACATCCCACGGCCTCAGGCCAAGAATTGTTCACACATCCTTTTGGGAAAACGTACTTTTGTAGCATACCTACTCGCCTTGTCTCCCAGACGACCCGCGAGGCACCAAGAACGCTCTAAGACGGGCATGGAAGCTCCCAAGCGCGAGAAGCCCCCAAGAGGCACCTAGGAGTCCCAAAGACGGCCTACGTAAGAAGCCCGGGGCCCGTAGAGGCCACATGATGCTCCCAAGACACCCCCAAGAGGCCCTCAATGAGCATCCAAGAAACCCCCAAGATGCCCCGAGATATCCCCAAGAAGCCCCGAGAGGTCCCAAGACGCATCCAAGAGGTCCCAAGAGGCTCCAAGAGGCCCCCCAGAGGCCCTCAAGAGGACACACGTGGGCTCAAAAGACGTCCCAGAGAGGCCCGAGAGGCCTCCCAAGAGACTTCTCGGAGCCTCCCAAAGAAGCCTCTTGTCTACGACCCTGTTTGGCCCAGGAATGCCCCAACAACCCATCAAAAAGGGCGTCCTCCTCCTCCTCCTCCTCCTCCTTCTCCTCCTCCTCATTCGCCTCCGTCTCCACCTCCTCCTCCTCCGCCTCCTCCTCCTCCTCCTCTCCTCCTCCTCCTCCTCCTCCTCCTCCTCCTCCTCCTCCTCCTCCTCATCCGCCTCCGCCTCTGCCTCCTCCTCCTCCTCCTCCTCCTCCCT